GCATGTTGTCATATGATCGTCAGTTAGTCGATTGCGATATTTTGACTTAATTATCTTCATTTCAGAAAATGCAGACTTGCACAAGTAAGTTGACCCAAAAAATGCCGTCAGTTGAAGGACGATTTGCCTTACATTCGGATATTTATCTTCAGATATAAAACGCCAGAAATTTGTATCAGATACTGTAGCTTTGAGATGTATATCTGATATAATCTGCACCAACTCATTTTCAACAGAACATGAGTTCATATTAAACTGACTTGCTATTTCAGTAGCTAATTCCTCAATGTTTTTACATGAAAAAGGATAACTCATAAATAATGCTATATTTTCCAATTTACTGCAATCATAAAAACGCATTTCGAATTGTCCCAAAATATTTGATAAATCAGCCTCATACGTATCATAATTCAACTGAGAAATCCTTGCTTTCAAAGACGGAAAATGTTTCAGATCCTTTCTTTTCAGTTGATCTATCATAAGTTGCAATTTACTTTTGAATGCGTTTACTGCGCTAATCATCTCAATAATAGTTTTTCCTTTACCTTGAAGCTCCAAGTTAACGGTGTTTAAGTGCATTGTGATGTCAGTCAAAAATGCCAAATCATTTAGCCATTTTTCGTTTTTCAAAATCTGAGTGTCATCACCTCTTTCGTCTAGAAAAGCTGTTATTTCGGGCAATAATTCTTGAAACCTTTCTAGGAATTTTCCGCGACTCAACCACCTGACGTCCGTGTGAAGAACTAAATCAGTGTGTTCAGCTGACTCCCTATCTTCCAACTGCAACTGAAAGAGCCGCCGTTGCAAGCTACGTGCACGGATGGAATTCACAATTTTTGTTGCAATGCCCATAATTTCCTCCGTGTTTAAAACTTTTGAACACAAAACTTGTTGATGTATAATGCAATGGAATGAAAAACATGAAGGGAATTCTTCATTAGCTCGACACAATGCCACAAAACCGTTTTTGTTTCCAGTCATTGCTGGTGCTCCATCGGTTGTAATGCACATTAATTTATATATTGGTAGCTCGTAGTTTTTTACAAAATTTAAGAAAACGTCATATATATCTTCGCCACGGGTCTTCCCCTTCAGAGGAATGATTGTCAAAAATTTTTCCTTAGCCAACATGTCATTGAATACCATCCGAATAAAAATACACAGCTGGGCAGTGTCTGTCATATCGATGGATTCGTCGAACTGTAAAGAAAAGTATGTACATTCCATGATATCATGTTTTAGTTTATCTGCGATGCCTGATATGATGTCGGACGAGATAACTGAAGTTCTCTAATAGCAGACATGATTTCTGTTTTATTTTTAAAATCTCCAAATAAATTCTCACCCGCTTCAATAAATGCTTCCTTCACCACCGATCCATCTTCAAATGGTTTCTTGTGTTTCGCCAAAATATGAGATACTTTAAATGACGCGATCGTAGCAGCTTTTGATTGTTTGGCTGGTCTTGTGAACATGGATTGTTCTTTTTTCAAACAAGATATCAAATCACAAACTTTTCGTTTTCTTTATTCACTCTGTGGCGGAAAATCCTTTTCATAGTTTTTATGAACCGTTTTATGATGCCTCTCTAAATTACCACGCTTAGGTATTGCAACTGACGCACGACAAATAACACAAATGCACTTATCCTTCACCATAGAAAAGAAAAATTCTTCCTCCCAATCTTTATTAAAATGATACGTGTTAGATTTCTTCACTGCACTCATTTTCCACTATTTAATAATAAACTTTGTATCGACGTAGGATCGCTATCAAGTTACAATTCAGAATACCTCCAATTCCTGCAGGCGCAACATTTATATCGGCGTGAACGAAAGTCTCGAATGTTCCCGTCATACGCGCCGCCCGAAACTAGACTGTACTGTCTCTCGTCTAGAAACAACACGGCTTTTCTTTGACAAGTGCCGCGCGTTTCTTTGATAAAGCCACCTTTTGCCGCAAGCAGTGTTATTTTATTACGTAATACATTTTTGTAGTTGATACAATATCATCCCAAATTTGATTAATAATTATAATAAATATTGAATTAATAAAATAATTAGTTAATATATGTAAGTATAAAATATGCTGTGTGGACAGTATTTTGTTGTCCCCACTTCTTTGAATTGCAATGATGCTTAGTCAAGCATTCTATGTATTTGTATAGTTCAGTATTAATAAAAACGTTTAACTCTGCTGACAGTAGTTTAGTTACCTACCTACTTATTAAAATTTTTTTTCTTCCGAAGCTACTCGCTACGGAAGCGAGAACTACCCAAAAAGCACTCGCGATCGACCAGTCGATCGCGATCGACCGTTTGAGCACCCCTGCCCTAGCGTGTGTGGTGTCCAGCGAGCTTGCCTGCCATAGTTGTAGTAGCCTGTAGCATCACATGTTACAGGTATTATTCGGCCCAAAGCCTGAGGTAATATAGTAGCAGAATATTTGAGACAATCGTATGTTCTTCCTGTTGCAAGAAGTCTTAATGTTACTGCTAGTCTCTCATGTGCTGATATTTCTTTTCTCATAACAGTATCTTGTCTTTGTATTAACGGAGTAATCATGATAATAGTTTCAAATAAAGTTTTTCATCCATTCGTAAATAATTTTTGTAATCTGTTGGTTTAAATCTCAATTCATTTATCAAATTTACGTGGGAGAAATGATTTCTTTTTAATACCCAGCGTTTAGACCATTCAGTACGATCTCTCTTTTTTTTCTTTTCTGAAGAATAAGTGTTAAGCCAAGTACAGCTATCACATCGTTGTCGTCCATTGTAGTTTGGTAGGTATATACCGCACAAAGCACCATAGGCGTCCTGCACACACCGTCACGTGTTAATGGCAAAACTGTGCATGCAAACCCTAACATGTATGTGTAATGTGGAACTCGGTTATACCTGTCGGTTATGCATGCAATGTTAAAACCATCATGCAAACCCTAACGTGTATGGCCTCCATTAGACCATAAAAACGGATAGACATGCCTTGTACCGAACCGTTGAAGCAAACACCTTCCGCGAAAGTGACGTCACAATACGGCAAGAGCTCGCTTGGATTCTTAGCAAAGCACTAATAAAATTACCCAATTTTCGATTAATTTTAATATAACTTCAATATTTTGACTTAAATTGTAAAAATAAATGTTTTATTTGTAAGTACATACCTACATATATTCTTATTATATATATATATATATATATATATATATATATATATATATATATATATATATATATATATATATATATCGTTGGTAGGTATATCTCTTCTTGTTTGATAATCAAAAATAAATTTAAAGGAGATTTTCTTTTGGGTGGAAGCTTCAAGTTAGGCAAAAAAAATATGTAGGAAAATCTATTAATTTATTGACCACAAAACAAAATAGCTTTTGTTAACTTACTTCTAACTCTTATTACATTAAAATGAGAAAAGGCAGCAAATATTTGATTTCACGCAAACAAATCCTATGTATCTCTTGATACGTATTTCGACCTAAAAGGTTTCGTCAGAAGAGCTATTCATAGGGCTTCTCAACGTGAAAAATCAATATTTTCTGCCTTTTAAGAAGCAACAATAACATGGCTTCAATACGGACGCAATAGCGACATCTAATTACAACAATCGTAAAATAGTTTCGAAACACAATTCAGATTTCTGCTTTATAATCTGAGCCTTCTAAAAATTGCAAGGAAACAGACGTTAATAAGAGATGTTAAAAGATGTCTTATTACATTATTTAGTTTTTCACCTTTGTGGTATAATCTAATGTTGCAATAATGGAAACAAATTATCTTTATTAGATTAAACAAATGGTTTGTTTCAAAATCATGATCAAACATATGTTCTTTGTGATGGTTCTTTGTATGCGTTAAACAGAACCATGCACGTTACTCATGACATTTAAGATCAATTTTGTCATTAATTTGGAATCGTTTAATTTTTTTTGAATTGACGTCTTTAGAAGGTTGAATTAAAAAATTTTTTGATATGTTATAATTTTTGTGTCTTATGAATGGAGATTGTAAATTATCACATTTAATTGCACACAAACATATATCACAATCTAATGTTTTCTAAACTTTCTTAACGACAAACCCAGCGATATAGTCAACAACATCACAAACATAAGATGACAATGTTTTTGAAAAACTTAAGTTATTTACAGTATAATCCAGATGTTCTGAGACAATGTGAAGAAAATAATATAATATTTGCATGTTTACCAGCCAACTCTACTAATATTTGCCAGCCATTGGATGTCGCATTCTTCAGGCCCTTAAAAGAAAGCTGGATGAAAACTCTAACATCATGGAAAATGCAAAATTCCAAAACCTCTGGCATTCCGAAAAATAAATTTCCTAAGCTGTTAAAGCAAACACTTAAAATCATGAATAAAGTACCACCTAAAAATCCAGACGGAGAGAAAAGTGCTGTAAAAAGAAATACTTTCTGGTTTTGAAGCATGTGGCATTGCACTATTCAACCCCAATCGAGTTTTGGAAAAGCTACCACAAGACATTATTGATCAAGCCGAGCTTAGATGCTCTCTTACTAACTTTTTGAAAGACTTGAGGTACAATTCCGGCTCTGAAAAACCTAGACGTAAAAGAAAACTGTAAATACTAAAATTGTAGACCTTTTTATTACCTATAATTTCGCCATTAAACTTGTAATTTGGTCGAAAATCGTGATAAACCGGTTTTTGCCATTAAAAACTTATTCCCTACTTCAGATCATCCGTAAATTATGTTTCCTTTAATTTTTGTTAAATATTCTTCCTTTTACAATGCATTCTATCTTGTTACTATTTTTTTTTTCGTCTCAAAACTCATCTTCCCTGGCCTATTAGTCCTTTGAATGGAAAATAGATGCACAAGGCAAAAAGTGCCAGTTAAACATTATTTTTTCTTAGTCGCAGTATTACAAAGACGATTGCTTATTATGTATATTTATTCCCACGCAAATTTTGCATGATCTAACGTAAATACATTTTTCAGGAGTTTGGGCACTCAAATGCAAGTGTGACATATGCAAAGACACGAATTTTACGTGCGAAACTGATGGCTATTGCTTCACCTCTACATACATTAAAGCAGGAGTCGTCCTATATAGCTACAGGTATGTTAATTTAAGAGTATTTGGGTGCTATGTAAGAACTGTATGGGTAAAAAGCGTTTAAAGAAAATATAAAAGCGTGAAACATTATCAGAATTTTAGTTTACAAATAAAACATTAAAAGCAACTGTTTGAAACATTTTTAGAAAGTCCTTATGAATTAAAAAAATTAAATCCAATGTAATTGCTTTTTAAAACCTAAAAGATTACGTATTTTTGTCTATTTTAAGATATTTATTAAAATGTGGGTACTTATTGTATCTGCGAAAATTGTCAAAAGTATCATCATCTTTCAGATTTAGAACCAGTTTTAATTTTACCAATTGTATAATCATTCCTAAAGTTACAACTTCCCTCGTTTTTTTCTTGGCATTGGTCATTATAAAATTATTGTTTTTTATATCCTTTCAATATGGAGAATACATTTTTAAGTATTATACATTAAATACTATTAAAAAGTTGTGAGGAATTTGTTGAAATCTTAAATTAGTTGCACTAAATATAATTGGTCACTCAAGAGTCCACGTACTATCTGTGGCACGACCCAGATAAGCAGTTTTTCTTCTTGTTATTTCCTTTTATTCTGCTCATTCGATTTAATACTTCGACATTTGTTGTGTGATCTGTCCAGAGTATGTTAAGTAGTCTTCTAAATATCCACATTTCAAAGGCCTCCAATCGGTTCACATTGGCCTTTATGGTCCAGGTTTTGAACTTGAACAAGCTAGTTTTGTAAATTATGCTTAAGTCATAGAGGGCTCGTTTTTAAACAAATACCCTCGTCTTGTCAAGTACTTTTTATATGAAAAGTTTTACGTAATGCGCTTTATGGCAACATTCATAAAAAAGACAAATAAAAAACCGTTTTCGCGTAAAATGTCGCTCGGAATGCATGATAGGTGGTGGTGGGGGACATTCACTCGAAATGTAAATCGTCAAGTTCAAAATCATAGCGCGCGCTAAAAATTGCATTATCTCGGCTTCTTGTCAACTTATTTTGCTCTTTTTTTTTGAATCGATGTCTCGGATGACAAGGATTTCTAATATCATATTTTCAAATACCATTTTTATTTGTAAATTGGGAAATTTGCAATAAACAATTGTATGTTAAACAAGTAATTGCATTTTTTCTTCATGCATTTTTTTGAGCTTGCAATTTATACATTGAAGTAAATTGTTACTTTTAATAAACAAATATGTATTTATAAATTGTTAGTAAATAATTTGAATTGTTAAAATAAGGGCAAACGAAAAAAAAAATTTTTTTGTAAAAATGAAACTTTTTAAAATAATTAACATTAAAAATAATTTATTTACATATTTTTTTACTAAAAGTAACAATTTACTTCAATGTATAGATTGCAAGCTCAAAAAAAAAACAGTTTCGAGCATTACACAGCAGTATAATAACACGTACAATATACACGTCATTTTCCAATCAAAATATATTCTCAAATCAAATAATGTCATTATTATGATAAAACTGCAGAAATAAATTATTTTTAATGTTAATTCTTTTAAAAAGTTTGATTTTTACAAAAAAAAATCGTTCGTCTTTGTTTTTAACAGTTCAAATTATTTAATAACAATTTATAAATACATATTTGTTTACTAAAAGTAACAATTTATTTTAATGTATAAATTGCAAGCTCAAAAAAATGCATGAAGAAAAAATGCAATTACTTGTTTAACATACAATTGTCTATTGCAAATTCCCCAATTTGCAATTAAAAATGGTATTTGAAAATATGATATTTGAAATCCTTGTCGTCCGAGACATCGATTCAAAAAACAAGAGCAAAATAAGTTGACAAGAAGCCGAGATAATGCAATTTTTAGCGCGCGCTATGATTTTGAACTCGCCGATTCACATTTCGAGTGAATGTCCCCCACCACCACCTATCATGCATTCCCAGCGACATTCTACGCTAAAACCGTTTTTTTATTTGTCTTTTTTATGAATGTTGCCATAAAGCGCATTACGTAAAACTTTTCATATAAAAAGTACTTGACAAGACGAGGGTATTTGTTTAAAAACGAGCCCTCTATAACTTATGGTTACACGGCAAATGTATGCCAACTTTGACCTTCAATATCTCGGCAACCAGTAAGCCGAATATATGTTTTTTTTAAAGAAGCGTCTTGTAATGTTCTTTAAGTGTATAAATTTTGAAATTGATATGTTTAAAGCTCGTAAAGTTATTCAATTTGTTTATAAGCCTAAAAAATGTTTAAAACTTTTAAAAAAATTCTAGGCTCTCCTAGTGAACCGATTTGAATTTTACAAAAAGCGTTTAAAAGTTTGAGCCTTCCTTTATATGTTAAAAAATTTGCAACTATCTGAGGGTTTTATTTAGGGCCTACTATAAATTTGAAAATTTGCGATTTTTTTCCAGTAGGCTGGATTGCAAAATTATTATGCAAAACCTATCCGACCGATCTTGACAAAATTTAACACACGTTTTAAACATATTAAAAAGTTTTTCTAGGCGGAATATGGAGCTTGTAAGTCAAGTTTAGAAAGTCGATTTTTCTAGGCGGAATATGGAGCTTGTAAGTCAAGTTTAGAAAGTCGAAAACATTTAAAGGATTGACTTCATTTTTTGTACTTTTTTTCCAATTATTGCTATTTTTTCAATAATTAACATTAAATTTTCAATTTCTAGCTAACGAAATATTGTGTAAAATTGAATAACGAAACTTTAACTTCGTATAATTTTTTCTCTAGGATCAATATTTTCCGAATTATAAACGAAAATAGGAGCAAAAAATGAGAAATTTTGAATTGTTTTCAGATTTTGTTAAATAAAAAATTTAGCACAGGGTTTGCGACTGGCGCATATCGTGATTATCGGTATTGGGCTCATCCTGAAGGATTCCAACAAAAAAAAAATAGCTTCCTATGGAAAATGTCCATTATGGTCTGAATTTCTACAGATCCCGCCAAGTCTATACCTCATATGACATTTATTTCACTTCTGTAATTTCATTGAACAAATAAAATAAATCAAATTAATTTAATATTTCAACATTTAGCGAATTTCATTTGATGTGGGTAGAACTTTTCTCTTTAAATATCTAATCTAATTTCACTGTTTGTTTAATATTTAATCTATTTAAAAATGATAATCTTGTTTGTTGCTGAAATTGGTATATTTAATAAAAGCTAATACATATACAAAAAAGCTTAGATATTCTGATACTGTTTTTACTCTTTGTTTTCTTTATTTGTAATTTTTTTGTCTGTGGTATAGAAATCGATAAAAATCGAAAAATGGTAAGTCAGATGTTGACTTGTCATTATCTAAATTTATTTTTTTACCGAACAATTATTTATTTGCCAAAATTTTATATGAACAATAAAATTTCAATCTGGTTTAAAAATTTTTGGTGTAGTTTTAAGGACGACGGGGAAGTTTTGTTAGAATTCGACGGGAATGTGAACTTTACTTTTACCAAGCGTCCAAAATTCTGACTGACTGGTTTGATAAAATTGTAGCACTGTTTTTAGTTTTAATTAAATACTGTATATTGATTCCAATATCTTTTAAAACGTGTTTATTCTTATACTGCTAAGCGAAAATTCTGTGGATTTACCATTCGCAGTAATTCAACTGCACAATGTAACCAAATGTAAACTCTGAAGATACAAGCCAAGTGTAACGTTATTCATTTCATGTTGAATGAGTCATTTTGCACTCTTAAGAATACAACAGCAAGAAGATAATGCTCCAATCGATCAAGTGAAAACATTTAAATACTTGGGAATGATAATGAATGACCAATGGGATCCTCAATAAGAATAAAATTCCGTACCGAACAAGCAAGACAAGCTTTTATTAAATTTAAACCGCTACTATATAACCGCAATCTTTCCTTCAATCTCTGCTACACGATGGTTTAAAAGCTATATATGGTCCATATTGTTATACGGCATGGAAACATGGACGTCAATAGTACCTTCTATTAATAATTTGGAGGCCTTAGAAATGTGGACGTTGCGAAGAATGTTCCGCATACCATGGACATATAGGGTGAGAAACGAGGAAGTGTTAAGAAAGGCAAATACTGAGAGAGAACTACTCGATTTGATCAAGGTACGAAAAATGAGATACGTCGGCCATATTTTGAGAGGTAGAAAATACACAATCGCTCAGCTAATCGTCCAGGGAAAGATTGAAGGCAAGAAAGAAGTAGGTCGCAAACAAATGTCGTGGCTACGGAACATAAAGAACTGGACAGGCATAAATAACACTGGCGATCTTTTGCATGCCGCTAAAGACCGGCGTCTGGCCTTAAGATAATTCGCCAACGCACTATAGGTGCACTATAAGAAGAAGAAGAGTCATTTTGATTACTTACTGTTTAAACTCTCACCTATTCAGAACTTTGATCTTGTGGTAACTTTAGTGATTTTTGGTGGTGTGTGACACTTGTGTGAAGCCTAACTGATTTGTTGCACTGTGGTTTAAGAATCACTAAAAAGATCGAAACATTTATACAAAAACATGCCAGCGTTTGCTTATTATTTGACTCAGTAATATCTGCTAGCAGTGGACTACTGCCATCTATATGAACTATGTAAATGTAATTTATGTATTCCTTGTGCCTGTGCTAACTGTTCCTGTTGGTGCTAATCACCTGAAATTATTTATCGTTACTTATAACTTCTTACTGTGCTATTCAATTGTGAGGGTAGGTAATTCCCCTGGATATCTGTGTATCAAGACACTTGAGAGACAGCCATCAAATCAACCGGGAACTACTTAATGTAATTAGATACGCGGATGCAGTATTTCTGTCAGAACATATTGAAGGTCTCCAAATTCTGCTTGATCGTATTCAAGAAGTATGAGAGGAAATGGACATTAAAATAAACTCAAACAAAGCCAAATTTTTAGTCTAGTCGTAACCCACATCCAGATGCAGAACTTCAATTAAATGAAATCCAAGTTGAAAAAGTTCACAAAATTAAATATTTGGGAACTGTCATAACGGACCAA